GGGGCGCCGCGTTCTGCACCGCCCTGCGCTCCTACTCCCGCTGCACCCGCCGCACCGCCCGCACCTGCCGCGGCGACCTGGCCTTCCACTCGGCCGTGCACGGCATCGAGGACCTCATGATCCAGAACAACTGCTCCAGGGAGGGCCCCACGGCGCCGCCCCGGCCCCGGCCCGCGGCCCCCGAGCGCCAGGGCCTCGAGTCGCTCGACGTCTGCGACTACGAGCGCAGCTTCCTCTACAGGCACGGCCGCCCGCCCGCCTTCCGGCACTGCGCCGCCTTCGGGGACCCCCACATCCGCACCTTCCACCACGACTTCCACACCTGCCGGGTGGAGGGCTCCTGGCCGCTCCTGGACAACGACTACCTGTTCGTGCAGGCCACCAGCTCGCCGGTGGCCGAGGGCTCCAATGCCACCGTCACCAGCAAGGTGAGTGCTTGCCTGGGGCGGGCGAGGGCGGCTCCCACGCTCCCCAAAAATGCCCGGGGAGGGCGGGAGTGGCTTTGGCGAGACCCAGGGAGAGCGAGGAAGGAGGGAGGAGAGGGGTGAAGGTGGTTGAGGGGACCCTCAAACGCTCCCATTGTCACAGGGGGTGGTGCAGTTCGTGGGGTTCCTGGAAGGATCTGTCTGGATTTGGCTCCAGCTCCGTTTTCCGTTGCTTAAATGGTGCTAAAGAAGGAGAAGGGAAGGGAAGACGGCTGTTATCCCAAAAGAACGGTGGGAGGGGTGGTTTGGGGATGGGGGGATGCGTGTTCCATCCCAGACACCCGGCACGGGGGACGCGGCCACGGCGCTCACCCCCTGCCTTCCCCGCTAATCCCCCCTCCTCAGCTCACCATCATCTTCAAGAACATGAAGGAGTGCATTGACCAGAAGGTCTACCAGGCCGAGCTGGACAACGTCCCCGCGGCCTTCCAGGACGGCTCAGTGGACGGCGGGGCGCGGCCGGGCGGGAGCAGCCTGGCCATCCGCGAGCGCTCGCCGGGCCGGCACGTGGAGATCCGCGCGGCCTACATCGGCACCACCATCGCCGTGCGCCAGGCGGGCCGCCAGCTCTCCTTCTCCATCCGCGCCGCCGAGGAGGTGGCCGGGGCCTTCACGGAGGAGCAGGACCTGCAGCTGTGCGTGGGCGGCTGCCCCCGCGGCCAGCGCCTGTCCCGCAGCCCCCGCGGGCGCGGGCGCGCGGCGGCCGAGGCGGCGCGGGCGCTGTGCCGGGAGGCGCTGCCGGTGGAGGACGTCTACTTCCAGTCCTGCGTCTTCGACGTGGTGACCTCGGGCGACGCCGGCTTCGCCATGGCGGCCCGCGGCGCGCTGGACGACGCGCGGCTCTTCCTGCCCGACGCCGACAAGCTCCACATCTTCCAGGCCGGGGCCAGCGGCCCCCGCGTCCCCCCGGCCTCCTTCCTCCTCTTCTTCCTCCCCTCTGCTCTTTGGCTGCTTTGGTTGCACTTTTAGGCCCTGCCCGCTCCCCCCCCGGGACAGCCGCTGGCTCCGGCAGGATTTCGTTCAGGAGCCCCCAAAAACCCCAAAATAACGGCCTGCGAGCCCAAATCCCGGTTTTCAGCTGATTGATGGATTCGGGAACCTTCGCCCAGAAGCACAGCGAGGCCGTGAGTCGGGTTTTGACCAAGGAGGGAATGGGTTTTGTCCCTCTCCTCCTCTTCCAGGAGGAACACCGGGCTGATCTCCAGCAGCGGGAGCAGTGGAGCTCCAGGCTCGGATATCCCAGGCCACTGTTGCTGTTTTCCCTTGTTTTCTTGGCACCTGTTGCGGACTCGATTTAGCCGGGCCTGGACTTGGGACCAGCGTCAGGTTTCAGGGAAGGGAATAAACACCCCTTGGGAATCTCTCCCTCGGGCCCAGCGTCTCAAATCCGACCCAAACTGGGGGGGTTTCGCCTGGAAAATGGAATTCCCGATGGCAAAGAGTGGATGGGCAGGGGAACCCCCCCCCCCGGGGAAGGGGCAGGACTGCAGAGGGGAGGGCAGATTTCAGGTGTTTCAGAGGAGTTCTGTAAAGCAGCCAGAGTTCCCAAGGGGAGATGTTTTCCACGGGAAAGACTTCCCTTTATTTTGAAGGAAGGATCCTCTGGAGCAGGGTTGATAGTACTGGAGGAAAATGGCACAGAGCCCCATCCAGGAAGAGTAAAAGAAAGAATCGGTTTTTATACAAATATAAATAAATAAATGTATAGGTACGAATTTAGATCGAAATCAGTGAAATCAATAAAACCCAATTCAGCCCCTCCCAGGGTGTGGAACAGCAGCTTTTTTTTGCCGGCTCAGGCCTCACGTTTGGTTCGATGAGGCGGGACATAAAATTACCCTTGAGCTGCTGGTCAGTGGAGTCAATCAACAAGAATTCCATGGGGAAAGGAGGATTCCCAGTGGAACTGCGCTCTCCTTCCCCCTGGCAGCCCCTCACCTGCACCACCAGCTCCGGGGCCTTGGTGTTTTCCTGGCCTGATCTGCCCTCTCCGAGGATCCCAACCCCGAAATTTGGAGCCCAGCACTCCCAGACTGAAAATCTCCCGGGATTCTGAAGAGCTGCCCCTGAGCCCAGCAGCTCTGACTGCAGGTTTGAGGCTGGGCAGCTCCACCTAAACGTGTGTCTCACCAGGAGCTGCCCAGCGCAGCCTCCTGCGGCACCCAGGAGCGGTTGTGGATGAGTTATGGGATCATTAAGGCTGGAGAAGCCTCTGAGATCATTAATCATTAACTGTCCCCCATGTCCCCAGGTCCAACATCCACTTGTTGCTGAGCACATCCAGGGACGGTGACACCGTCACTGCCCTCTCAGTGCCTGAACACCCCAAATATCCAACCTGGACCTGCCCTTGAGGCCTCACCCCCCTCCCTGAGCTGCAGCCATGCAGGTGGGATGCACCTGGATGCAGCACAACCCACCCTGGGCTGGCACTGGGGCTGGACGGGGTGGCTGGGGGGTTTTTTTCAGCAGGTGGCACCGGCTGGGAAGGCCAAGGGTCGATCCAGAGTCCGCTGACGCCAGTGGAAAACGCGCTCGCTGGCACCGGCGGCTCTCCTTTATTCCAGCTGGGGTAGGGGGGGAAAGGTCTGTTCTCTGCTTCAGGGCGTTCCAAGAGAGCTCTGACAGCCTTTTGTTGTTGTTGTTGTTGTTGTTGTTGTTGTTGTTGTCCCTCTGTGTCGCCCAGGGGTGGGTGGGTGGGTGGGTGGATGGATGGATGGGTGGAGGGATGGATGGATGGATATATGGATGGAGGGATGGAGGGATGGAGGGATGGATGGATAGGTGGAAATCCTCCTCTGCCATTCCTGGGAAAGCCTCTAGATGTCCACAGCAGCCAGAGCACGGGGAGGGCTCCAGCACCCTCAGAGCTCCAGAGCCACGGGGTGCCTCCATCCTCACCCCAAACACCCAGGAATCACAGAATTCCAGACTGGTTTGGGGCGGGAAAAGGCCTTAAAGACAATCCCATTCACGGCAGGGACACCTCCCACTATCCCAGCTGGCTCCAAGCCCCATCCAAGCTCGCCTTTGAACACTTCCAGGGACGGGGCAGCCACCAATTCCCTGGAAAACCTGTGCCATGGCCTCACCACCCTCACAGGGGAAGAATTTCTTCCCCAAATCCCACCTAACCCGCCTGGGGAGGCTGTGCTGGGAGCTGGGGGAGGTGACATTCTCCCAGCTGATGTCACTGCCTCTTCCTGCCCCGAGCAGATGACGAACACGGGACTTTCCAGCCCCCTGAATCCGAATTCCTCCTTGTTTCTGGACGGCCCAGCTCTTGTGGAGCTTTTCCTGCTCCAAAACCACCATCTGGGAATGAAATAAGGGAATTCAATCCCACCTGGACAAAGAAGCAGCGGGAGCTTCCACATCCAGTGGGGGAACTGGAAAAGTGGGGCTCCAGGGGGGAAATCTTCCTGCCTGAGCCCTGAGAAGGCTTGATCCCACTCAGAGGAGGGGGAAAAGGGGCCCTGATCTGTGTGCCTGGAGAATCTCAAACACGGCGGGGGGGGGGGGGGGGCACAAACCTCTGTCAGAAGGGATAAAACAGCAAAAAAAAAAGGGGATTTTTGGGAATCCTCAGTGAGGATCTGTCCTGGGAGCTTTCCCAGTCTCCCCTGCAAGGTCCCAGCCGAGTGTCAAACCTGTGTGTCCCCCCCTGCCCCCAGCCAGGCCCTCCAGCCCTTCCCTCCCACCCCTGACCCTCTGCTGCGGTTTAGGAACCACCCCGGGGCCTCCAGTCCTGGAAATCCTGGGCGTGGGACGAGCGGTGGCTTTCCAGGAGCCATCCCAGTGCCCTGGTTTCCCAGCTGGGATCCATTCCCAACCTTCCCTGCACACAAACAAGTGGAGGAAATGCCTTTTTCCGCACGCCCGGGACAATCTGTCCCCACTCCAGCCCCTGCGGATCCATTCCCATTCCCAGCCCTCCCTGCCCCTCCCAGCCTGGAATCTGCTGGAAGGGCCCATATATGGTGAAAAACACGGAGCAAAGAGCCCGGAGAGGCCGGGGGGCTGCGGGTGGGCCGGCGATCCCGGCTCGGTGCCGGGACAAAGGCCAGGCTGTCACGGGAGCAGCGTGGCTTCTCCCCGGCAACCCGTCCCGATAACCTGGAGCAGAAAAACAGGGATCTTATCAGCGCCCAGGCGCTGTGCCGGCGAAAACAAGCCTGTGCCGTGCCCAGTCCCTTCCCAGGGACCCACCCCGAGCCCAGTGAGTCACCCCAGGGCCCGGTTTCTCGCTCCGTGGCTTTGGAAGTGGGTTATTCCTGGGGGGGGGGGGATTGTTTTAGTCACACCATCCCGGCCATCTCCTGCCCCCGGCCAGGAAAACTCCGGGAAAAGCCACAGATCCAACTGTACTCCCCGTTCACTCCCCCTCAGCGGTGGGGGATCCTCCAGGCACCGTGATCCTGTGGGAAAGCAGCTGGGAAGGAGGGGGGGGTGGAGGCCTCAGGCAGCAGTTTAGTGGGAGCAGGGTTTGTCCTTGCCCAGAATTCCTGCTGGTTTCTCTCCCAACACTGGAGGACATTCAGAAAACTTTGCTTTCCGACAGGCAGAAATCCCACGGCGTTCCCAAACTCCCCCGATCCACCCAGGGGTGCTGCCGGTGTGGGAAAACCTCCCCGAGCAAGGCTGAGCCCCGAGGGAATTCCGGCAAGAGCGGGGAGAGGGGAAGGGCTTGTTGTCAAATGGGGGTCAGGGGGGGAAAGGGCAGCGCTTGGTTGGCAGCTCTGGAGGGATCAGGAGAGGATTCGGGGTGCGGAACGTGCCTTGGAGCGGATCCCCGGCCATTCCCCTGGTCCTGGGCCCTTTGGCTTTGCTGGAATGTGGCCCAGCAGCCCCAGGCTGGGGTCGGTTTCCTTGGAAAGGCGGACACGGCTGGGAACTGGAGAGAGGGGAGAGCGTAAACACGGGAACGCCGAGCCCGGGGGGTCAAATATCCCACGGCTGGCAGGGCTGGAAAACCCATCCCCACCTTTGCCTTTTAGCACCAAGCCAGCGCCTCATTTTTCCCAGGGGGAGACAGGGGGGCCAGGAGGGAAAGAGGTGCCGTTCCTCCAAAGCCCGGGATAATTCCCTGCCAAGGAGGAACCGTGTCCTGCGGTTTGGCAGCAGAGCAGTTTATGCCCCACGGTTTATCCAGAGCTTTATCGGTTTATACGATCAGGTGTGAATTAACTCCGGGGGGGAAAGGAGCGGATGGAAGGGCAGGAAAGGAGCCAGGAACGCCGGGACAAACAACCTCTGAAGGACAACTCCCAGCAAAAGCAACTCCCAGCAAAAGCACCTCCCTGTTCCCCCCCACACACACCAGGAGCCCCCATTCCCATTCCTGCGGTGCTGGGTGGCTCCAGGAACATTGTTCTCCCGTTTCCTCTCCCCCTCCAGCACTTTCCTGAGCTGGGAAAGTGCTGAGGGCTGGGAAAAGAGGGGAAAAGAGGGAAAAAGAGCTGCTGCCTGTCCTGGAGCAATGTCTGAGCCAGGGAGTGAAACCTGAGGGTTTCTCAGAGGCCAAAGTCTCCCGGGGTGGGTGGGGTGGGGGTTAAACACTGTCCCACTCCCCAAATCCCAGCTGGAAAATGGGGCCACGGTTTTTGGGATGGATGTGGGTGCTTGCTGGCCCCTTGGATCGAGGTTTGGGAGGGATGTTTTGGGGTGGGTTCCTGAAACAGGGTAGGAAGTGGCAGAGGTCGTGGAACCTACACACAGATACGCCCCAGAAGGGGGGAAGGATTTGGTCCTGAAGCCCCAAATCCACCCTCATTTACCTCAAATAATGTGAGGGTGGGTGGGAATACCACAGAGGGGGGGCTGAGGGAACCCCCCAGAATCACTTGAAAGCAGTCCAGGGGGGGTATGGAAAGTGGCAGAGGGGGGAAAATCCCCCCCGGAGGGATTCAGGGAGTCCCCTGGGGTCAGGTCCGATCCCGTACCCCAAATCCACCCTTACTGACCCCAAATCAGGAGGAGTGATGTACCCCAGAGATGGCCAAGGGGAGGCCGGGGGGGACCTCAGGGAAGTGGCAGAGAGGGGCAAATACCTCCCTCCCCACCCTCCCAGGGACTGAGGGAGCACCCCAGGGTCTGGTTCTATCCCGATTCTATCCGAATCCACCCTTATTTACCCCAAATAACGGGGGGTGGGGTGTACCCCGCGGGGGCTTCGGGGAGACTCTGGGGGGCGGGGGGGGGGGGCACGGGGGGTACCCCCAGGCTGCCCTGAGTGGGCAGGGGGAAACTGAGGAAGGGGGTGACGCCACTGCAGACCCCCAGGGCCCGGCCCGGCCGCTCCCAGTTCTCCCAGTACAGCACGGCCTGTCCCAAACTGGGGGCAGCTCCCCCCCCCGCCCCCCCGCTCCCCGGCGCTTGGGAACATGACATCCCATCCCGCGCTCGCCATTGGCCGCCGCCGCCGCCCGGACCCGCTCGCCATTGGCCCCGCGCGCTGTCAATCACCCCCGGCCGGCTCCCGCCCCCCCCATCCTCCCCATTGACCACGCGCACCTCTCCCTCACACGCTGTCCACGCTCCGCTCGCGCCGCGCCCATTGGCCCGCGCCGCCGTAAACAAGGCGGCGGCAGCCAATGGGAGCGCTGATCACGCGAGCTGCACGCCTGGCCACGCGCCCTCGGCGTGGCGCCCCGGCAGCAACAGGCGCGGGCAGGGGGGTGGGCGGGGCCCCCGAGCCTATAAAAGGCGGCGGCGGCTGAGGGGGAGCGCACAGCGCTGAGGGGAATCGGGCGGCGAGAGCGGGCCCGGCGCGGAGCGACTTCGGGGAAAACACCTCTCGCAGCGCCTCAAAACAAAGCGCCCAACCAGCCCGCCGACCGAGCCACCCACCCTTCTGCCTGCCACTCGCCTGCTTCCAGGCGGGGTTTCCTTGCTGCGAGGGCGATAAAGCCCCACAAGCTTCGCTCCCTGCGTGCCCGCGCCGCCCCAGCCATGGTGATGTTCAGGAAGGTGAAGAGCTTCACCGTGGTCTTCAGCGAGCCCGACAAGATCTACTGCAGCGGGGACAAGGTGGCCGGGCGCGTGGTCGTGGAGGTGGCCGAGGTGACCCGCGTCAGCGCCGTCAAGGTGTTGGCGTGTGGGGTGGCCAGGGTGACCTGGGCCAAGGGCCCGGCCCAGTGCCGGCAGGAGATGGAGTACCTGCGCTTCGAGGACGTGCTGGCGCTCGAGGAGCAGCCCACGGGTGAGGGCACAGGGCTGGACGGGCAGAGGCGTTGGCAGGGGTCACCAACACGCAGTTGATGTTGCGCTTCGAGCGTGGGAGAAACGACCAAACCCGGCGAAACTTGGGACGTTTGGAGGGTTTGGCCAAGTCAAGTCAAAGTTGGGGAAGCTGAGGGACAAAATCAGAGCCTGGGGAGCTCCCACAGTCCGTCCTGGCACCGCAAGCTGGTGACAGGGCACAGGGAGGGGCACAGGGATCACACCCCGGACTAGGACGGAGAGAGGGACTGGAAGAAGTGTCTTGAAGATAACTTGAAGGGACAGCTGCAGCTGGGAGATAAAGGAGAGCTGAGGGTGGGGTGGGGCCAGCGGAACGCCGTGTTCTGCCCCAGGGCTGTTGGTGAGGTGAAGGGAGCAGCACAGAGAGGACATGGGGTTCCCAGGGCGGGTGTTACTCAACACCTCGGGTTCCCTCACCACTGGAAGCGGAACCAAGGATCTCTCTGGAGCTCCATCTGATGTTTTCCTTCCCCTTCTCTGCTGCAGATGGGGACGGCTCCGTCATCCTGAGACCTGGGAACAAGTACGAGTACAAGTTCGACTTCGAGCTGCCCCAGGGGTGAGTATGAGGCAGCACCTGCCTCTGGGGGTGGAATTAAACTGGAAACCCCCTGTTTTGGCGCTGGAGTGACCCCCTGCGTGTCCACAGGCCGCTGGGCACCACGTTCAAGGGCAAGTACGGCTCCGTGGATTACTGGGTGAAGGCGTCCCTGGAGCGCCCTGCCTGCCCCCCCCAGCAGGTGAAGAAACGCTTCGAGGTGATGGATCCCGTGGATGTGAACACCCCAGAATTGCTGGTGAGCCTCGAGTACTCCAAAGCCTCGGGAGGGTCAGCCCGACCTCAGGGTGTCGAGGCGCGTGTAATCGGCTTTGGGTTGAGCGGGGATTAAGCGGGGGGGATTAAGGAGTTCTGGAGAATTCCAGAAACCGACACCGGGCTGGGTGGGTTCTGCGCCTCCAGGGGAACTTGAGGCTTGGTGGCAAAGAGAAGGGGAAGGAAGGAAGGGGTGGGAAGGGCAGGATGTGTGACCGTTCCTCTCTCCACAGTCCCCGGTGGCAGCCAAGAAGGAGAAGAAGGTGTCGTGCATGTTCATCCCCGACGGACGCGTCTCCGTCAGCGCCCAGATCGACAGGAAGGGCTTCTGCGAAGGTGAGGATCGCTGGGAACAGGGAATAGGGGGAGGGAGGAGTGCGTGGCACCACCAGGGGAAACCCCCGACATCCCTAACGCGGGGTCCTTGCCTCGGCAGGCGATGAGATCTGCATCAACGCCGACTTCGAGAACACCTGCTCGCGCATCGTGGTGCCCAAGGCGGCCATCGTGGCCAAGCACACCTACCTGGCCAACGGCCAGACCAAGGTCTTCTGCCAGAAACTCTCCTGCGTCCGCGGCAACCACATCATCTCGGGCACCTCCGAGTCCTGGCGCGGCAAAACCATCCGCGTGCGGAAGCTCAAACCCTCCATCCTGGGCTGCAACATTCTGCGCGTGGAGTATTTCCTGCAGGTGAGTGGGGGATCCTCTCAGCCCCCTCCTCGTCTTCATCCTCCTCCTCCTCCTCCTCGTGGGGATCTCGATCCCGTCCCGGCATCCCTAAATCCCGGCTCTCCCCCCCTGCAGATCTACGTCAGCGTCCCGGGCTCCAAGAAGATCATCCTGGAGCTGCCGCTGGTCATCGGGAGCCGCTCGGGCATCGGGAGCCGCAGCTCCAGCATGGCCAGTCAGACCAGTTCCGAGATGAGCTGGGTCGACCTGAACCTCCCGGATGCTCCAGAGGGTGAGTGGGGTGGGAGCCACGGGGTGGGATCCCGGCGTGGGGATAAACCCCGAGGGGCGCGGAGAGGAGCTCACGGATATCCCCTCGCCTTCCCGCAGCACCCCCCTGCTATCTGGACATCGTTCCCGAGGATCACCGGCTGGAGAGCCCCACCACGCCCCTGCTGGATGATCCCGACGGATTCGACAGCCCCATCTTCATGTACGCGCCGGAGTTCAAGTTCATGCCCCCCCCCACCTACACGGAGGTGAGCGCGGCGCCGGCGCCGGCACGGGATGGGCCGGGCGGATCCGGGAGCGCCGGCACAGCCCCCTCACCCGCTCCCTGCTCCGTCGCCCAGGTGGATCCCTGCGTGGCCAACAACAACAACAACAACAACAACAACGTCCAGTGAGCGCCGCGCCCGGCGGGGTCGCTCCCGCTGATCCCGGACTTGGCTCCGTGTGCCGCCCGCCCGCGGCTCCCGAGGAACTGCCACATTCCCGAGGAACGGCCGCTTTCCCCAGGAAAGGAAGCGCCGCTCCGGAGCGCTGGAACCCGCCAGGAATGAAAACCCCTGGGGTGCCGCGAGCCGGCGGAGAACCTTGGTGGGCTGGGAGAGCAATGAGAGAGAGAGGAGGCGGCTCCGGCTGGAAAAGGGCTGGAAAAGCTCGGCCATCCTCGTCCTGGCGCAGGGAGGGGCGGGAAACTCCCGGCTTTGAACTGATTTCCATCCAAATTCCCCGACTCCGGGCGCTGCTCCGGGAGGGGGACACTGTGACCCCACAGCTCCGTCCTGTCGTGACACGCACCCCTTGTCGCGACCGACGCCTTTTCTACTCTTCGGTTTTGTAAATAGGGGGGTTTTTTTTTTGGGGGGGGGGAAGGGAAGGAGGGGGAAAAGCACAAAAAAAACGCAGATTTTGTACCTTTTTTGGTGGCCCCTGGGGGGCAAAGTTTGTAATAAAAACGAGTGAAACTGAGGTGCTGTCTCGCGTCCTGCCCGGGGACGGGGTGACGGAAAGCTCGGGGGTGGCATTGACCGTCCTCTCCTGATTCCTGGGTTTCCTGGGAGCAGCCCTGGGGGGGGTCTCCTGGTTTTTCCAGGGGGAAAAACCGAGCAGAAAAGCGGTGCTGGTGAGGGGAAACTGAGGCACGGGGAGGGAAACGGGGCCAGGGAAGGGAAAAGGGACAGGGAAGGGAAACAGGCACAGGGGTGGGAGACTATTCCTGCCACTCCTGCCTTTTTGGGGGCCGCTGCAGGAGCCCCTGCGGCTCCCGCTCTGTTTTTGGGATGTGGGTGAAAGGTGCCGGTGTCGAGGAACGGGGCCGTGACCTTGGCTCTGCTCCCTCCCCCCTCGCCCACTTGGAGC